CTTAAGAGAGAAAACAAATATATTTGAAAATATTTGTTTTAGCTTTAAAAAATTTTTTTCTGTTTATTTTCATCTGTTCTATGGTAGATAAAATAACACCTGTTTCACCAAAGATGTTCACATCTTAATCTCCAAACCTGTGGACACACAGCCCTTAAATTATAAAAGGGACTTTGTGGGTGTGATTAAATTAAGGATCTTGAATAGGGACATAATCCTGGATTATCTGGATGGGCCCAGTGAAATCTCAAGGAAGGGTCCTTATAAAAGAGAGACAGGCATGTCAGAGTCAGACAAAAGGAGACATGACTATGGAAATAGATGTCACAGTGATGAGAACTGAGCCAAACAGTGCAGGCAGACTCTAGAAGCTGGAAAAGGCAAAGAAACAGATTCTCCCCTAGAACCTCCAAAAACAAACTAAGCCCTGCTGAAACTTTGATTTTAGCCCTGTGAAAATGATTTCTGATGTCAGTTACCTAGAATTTTAAGGTAACAAATGTGTATTGTTTTAAATCACTAAGTTTGTGGTAATTTTGTTACAGCAGCAATAGGAAACTGATGTGTCCTCCTTTTAAATTCTGAGTTTTAGTTTCTCATTCTTGTAGCTTTAAGAATTTTGATGATTGCTTCTAAGAAACACACTGCCTGGAAATGCTGGTGCTGTGGGATTTCCTCATCATGGCTGAAGTCATTTGAGGAAAATCTTACAGAGTTCAGTTCCCCAAATTTAATGTCTTTAATTAATAATGTTATTTAAATCCTCCAGTAGTAGATGTTACAAAGGCAAAATGTTCTTTCTTTCTTATGCCTTCTTCCCTTCCCTTCTTTCTTCCTTAGTATGATCTGAATAGAGTACAGGTGAGGAAAAATGAAAATAGAAAACTAGGCAGAAGCCTGCTCAAAAAGAGGAATAAATAGTACCCTAAGCTTTGTGCTTATGGCTGTGATGTGTCATATAAGGCTTTCAGCAGGACAGTAACACGATCAGTCAGTATTTCAGAAATATCCCTTTGGCAACAATGTGGAGACTGAATTACTGAAAGATCAGACCGGGCAGAAGGAGAACAATTAGGGGTTTCGACTGATACTCCACAAGAGAAGAATAGAGGGCCCAAGCTAAGGCAATCGTATTTGCTATTGGAAAGGTAGGTCAAATCTTATCCATAACATGGAGGATTAAGATTAAAAGTACATACAGGGCTTCTGAATGATTTACACATGTGATAAACAGGAAAGGAAGATTTACACATGATGCTTCTACCTTAAATGGGAAATGGTAGAGACGATGGCATGTATCAAAATAAGGAATAAAAGTGGAGGCAGAAGATTTGAAGAAAAGATAACTTCAGTTGTGGACCTAGTGAAATCAGAGTGCCTGTGAAACATGCAAGAGGGAGGCCTAGTAAACAGCTACATTGTAGATTTAGAGATACAGACTGGCCAGCTTGGAACAAACTACTGAATCAGAGTTTTACTTAAAATCACACAGGACAAAGAATTAGAATTAAAAAGACAGAAATGCTAGGTAAGTAACTCTGAGGAACATCAACATGTAATGGTCAGGAAAGACTAAAGAAATCTCAAGAATGTATAATAGAAATTAGGACAGAGTGATATCACAAAGCCACAGTAAGATAGAGTTTCAAGAAAAAAGTGGTTAACAAAGTCAAATGGCACAGGGATGAGGGACTAGAGAGAGCAAGAGATATTGCTGGTAGATGGGGAAATAACTGGGTCACTGGTGACCCTCGGGAGAATCATTTCAGGGAGTTAGTGAGAGCAGAAGCCAGCGTGCAGGGACTGGAGGGACACTGTGAATTGTAAATGAAGAGACCTTGGGGCTCAGTACTAAGTACCTTCTCCTCTCTCTCTCTATTCTCCCCAAGGAGGATTTCATCTGTTCCCCTGGCTTTAAATACCTCCAGTATGCTAATGACCCCCAAATTTGCATTTCTCTTCCAGAACTCTCTGTGAAGATGGAAACTGGAATGCAGTGACTTGAGAAGTGAATTGGAGGTGACACAGGACTCAATGCTAGGCACCTTCTCCTCTTTCTCATCTAGTAGTTGATATCATCTATTCCCTCAGTTATAAATACCAGTTAGATACTAAGAAAACATAAATCTCAAATTTTCTCTCTTTCTGGGAGGTCAAGATTTATATATATTAAATAAGTAGGTGTATATTTCACAAATATCTCAAAATTTAGAACCTGCATGACCAAGCTTTCATGACTATTGTCCTTAAAGCCTGTTTCTCCTCAGTCTTCTCCAAATCAGTTAATGGCATCATTATTCATCTAATTTCTCAATTCAGAAACTGGGTAGTCTTCCTTTGTCCTTCATTTTCCTTACCCCAGACACAACCTCCCCTGTCCATTCTAGCTCACAAGTGGATCTCACATAGATCTATCTTTCTCTCTACTACCAGAGCTTTAGTACAAGCCACCATCATCCCTTAATGTGACTCCTTCATTACTGATCTCCCAGCTCCCTCCATTGCTCTCTTCAACTATTCTTCATACAGCCTTCACAACTGACTTTAAAAATCATAAAATGCATTAGCCTCTCTCCTGCCTAAAATCTTTCAGTTGCTTCCCATTTCTTCTAGAATAAAAATCAGGTTCCTTATCATGGCCTAAAAACAGGATAGATGGTCCCCCACCTACCTATCTAACTCCATCTCATACCGCGTGATCCCGAGTTCACTGTGATCTAAACTCATTGAACTTTTTTTCTCAGTTGCCACAATAAGTCAAGCACTATCCCACAACAGAGCCATCAGACATGCTTTTATCCCTGCCAGGAATGCTTTTTCTTGGGTTCTCTAAAGGACTGACTTCTCATTTTTAACACTTGGTTATAATGTATCCTCAACTCTGTTTAAGTAGGTTCTTTTCTAAAGTTTTCCATTTTTGAACCCTTCATAGTGTTATGAACCCTTTTCTAGCCAGTTATTCATATGTCATGATTTATTTATTACCTATTTTACTGACCACATTCTAAGCTGCTTTTGGACAAAGAATTTGTCTCTCATATTTATAAATAGACATCCAGTGCTATGCACAGCATCTGTTATATAGTAGGTTTTCAATAAATATTTTTGAAATAAACAAGTGAGTGAATGAGAAAAAAAATCAATGGCAGTAAAGACTACAACATACTGAGTGCTTACTCTGTGTCAAGAAATATTCTAAGCATTTTACATGTATTGATATTTTAATCTTCCCCCCAAATCCTTTGGGGTAGGAACTGTTACCTATTCCAATTTCAATGATGAAACCACTGAGACAAAGAGAACTTAAGTAATATGCCAAAGGACACAGAGCTAGTAGAGCCAAGATTTGAACCTAGGAAATCTAGTGCAGAGTACGTACTCTCACCCTGCATTAAAGATTTCAGAATGCTTGACCAGAAACAGAAAGAGAAATCTTGGGAAATTTTATTATAGATGTCTCTAGGGTTAATATGTGTGTGTGTGTGTGTGTGTGTGTGTGTAGAGATTTCACCATGCTTACATTCAGAGGGTAATATATAACTAAGGAGAGGCAGTATATACAAGCAAGGAAGGATGACTGATTAAGCAGTCCTTAAGTCCTTTCAGGTGACTGAAAAAACAGGTGTTGAATGGGACTAAAGCAAGGGACCTAGCTTTTGTGGAAACATTCTATTTCTATGAAACAGGAAGGAAAAAATGCACTTTATTAAAGATATTTTTAGATTTCTAGGGGGAGGGGTTTGAGAATTAATTTTTTATATTAAATTTTCTTAGTAAAGTTATCTGCTGAGGTTGGATGAAAGAAGTAGTGTACAAAATGGAATGGAAGCAAATGGGCTAGAACAAAGCCAGCTAGGTGGAGAGCCCCGCTGAGACTGAAGACCACTAATTTGTAGAGGCCCCACCCTGCAAATTGTCCTGGGACTGTCTTCTTGACACCATCCTGGAGGCTGAGCTGAGAGGCTGCAAGGATAGTCAGTGTAACAGAAAAACAATGGGGCAAGAAGCGACTCTAACTATGAGAACTCACTGAAATGAGTGGGGCAAAGGTTGTATCAGGAAGGAAGTAAAGTCCAGAAAGTGAGAAGGTGGAGAAGCTAGTGAATTAGAAGACTTAGTCAGCCCACAGGGTAAGTACAATGAGAGAACAAGAGAACTGAAAAGCTGAGAGCTGTGGTCTCACCTAGGACATGGGATCATCTTCTGAAAATTTCTGAACCTGCAAAATGAGGTGCTCCACAATCTACCCCCATCAACTTTCACAACACTGTCCTCTTTCCCTTCAATTGCTCACTAACCCTAAGCTTAAGGGATCCACTTGACATTCCCAGAAATAACCATGCTTGTTAACACTGATCCTTGCTTGGTGGTGACAAATGTCCTAAAATAAAAGATTTATTGGTGAAGTATACATGTCTATCAACCATACTTCCTTTTCCCAAGGTGAAATTATCTCCAAAAATAGCAGCATTATACATTACTGTTTGTAGATTATCTTATAATGACAAAACCATGACTACGTTCTGAACTTTAAATAAATATTTCCATGAGACAACCAAAACAGGATACACTGCATAAATAATTTGGTTTTTAAACATTTCCACCATTTAATAACTTTCACCAAATGTCACAATTTGTGTGAGTCTTTTCTGTCATTGAAACTGACTTTTTAAATATGTAACCACAAGATTATAGGGCAAGCAGACAACTGGCATGGACTCCAAAGACAATAATGATTAAAATAAATCAGACTTACAGTATAGTGGACTTTATATGATATTTCACTATTTACAGAGTACCTCCTTAGCCATGGATCCCTTTTATGATCTTTTATTTGATCCCTTATGATTATGATCCCTAATTTGACATATTTTTATTGATGAGCTAACTAAGGCTCATGTTAAGCAAAAGCAGCACACAGAATTAAACATCAATCAAAGTCTGCTTATCTCTACCCTGGTGCTCTTCTTCTCTTTTTTTTTTTTTCTAAGTATAGTCAGAAAAACATGGAATTCACGAATTTGCATGTCATCCTTGCACAGGAGCCATGCTAATCTTCTCTGCATCGTTTCAATTGTAGTATATGTGCTGCCGAAGCGAGCATGCTGGTGCTCTCTTAAAAGTGAAAAATTGTGTTAATAATCATAATGATAATAATGACGTGCATTGCATAGAAAGTTCGCTTTGTGTCAGACACAGGGCATGGAGCACTTGCCACCTTGCCTCATGTAATCCTCACAGCAAGCAGTGAGATGAGCAGCCTTGCTCTCTCACTTTCACGAGAAAGTGGAGATAAAGGAGAGGTTAAGGAGTTCTGAAGCAAAGCGAGAGTTCAAATCCTCACTGGTCTCACTGCTGAGCCTTTGTTCCTCATCAGAAGTGATTATTACAATGAAGATGTTTCCCTTTCAAATTAACAAGAATTTTTAAATGATAGTGCTGAGGGGGGAACAATGCAACAGAAATCCGTGTGAGTTGCTGCCCGGGAAGTAAATTTGTACATTTGCGTAGCTTAAGGAAATAATCCTAGATGTGCAAAAGATGCAAAGCATCAAGATGGTCATTGAAACATTATTAACAACGATTCTATAATATAGAGAACATATAATAAATATATATCCCAATAGACTCTCTATAGCATCCTTCAAGCTGAAATTTAACTTCTCTCTTTTATCGGGTCAAAGGGCTTTACTGCTAAAACCACTTAATCATAAAAAGACTAGAAAGCATAAACTTTGAAAGCAAAGCTAAAGTAAGCTTCCTTTCCCTCTATTAATCACAATTTTTTTAAAAGAATGATACATAAAATGACTGTAACACAAGGAAAATATGGCTATTAAGTGAGCTATTTTAAGAAAAGTATCATTATTTTAGTCGTTACTGACACGCTGGCTTTAACTTCTTTCTAGTTTTACCATTGAACTTCTTCAATAAAAGTACATGAGATAGCATCTAAGTCCTGAACATTTACAAAACATTTCCATGGGAAAAGTTAGGATTTTGGGAGTGTTGACAACCACCACATGAATATCTCTCAAACAATAACAGGATATTTCAAATTCTCAATGTAAATGTTTTAAGATGCTCAACCAACATAAACCAGGCCCTATAAAAATGTGCTCATGGCAAAGAATAACCTCATTATGTTCTCCCAATAAAATCCAACATTATAATGTGAGAATAAATCATTCTTTCCGTCCTTATGGTATTGGTTTTGAGTTGTCCTAACCTGGGAGCTCATTTCAAAGTAAATTTCCTAAAGGAACATAAACATAGATATATAAAAGGGCTTGTTTTTAAAAGTAGCTCAAATAATAGCAACCAGATTCTCTTGCCTCTTAGCAAAGGCTTTGTTTGGTGTTTTATTTTGGGCTTTTTTTTTCTCTTTCTTTCTCTCATAAATTCTTCTTAGAAGGACGACTGTTAGTGGCAAGGTCAACTTTGCTTTACCACAAGTCACTAAAGACTGAGTTGGTAACCTGATATCTGAGAAGTCATTTGCTGTCATATGTCTATCACCAATCCTTCAGAAGAGTAAGAGAATATGATGCCTTATTAAGGCTTGGCCAAGTTAGGGTAGAGTTTCAATGTTATTGAACTCCATATGTGCACAGAGCAAAATATGATTGTTTTGTAGTCTATAAATATATCACCAGTCCTAGCAAGTGGCAAGACATCTCACTCTAGAAAGTCACATGCTGCAATGTGTCACTTTCAAACTTCTCTCACTGGTCCCAGGAAAACAGGTTCAGATTTCAAGTAAAGTTATTTAAAGTAGATTCTGGTATACAGACACTCACGTACTCCAAAGTTAAATTTTCCAGTTAGACTGTCTCCAGTCAATCTGACCACTTCAAGCTGACAGGCAAGCCAGTCAAATTAGCAGTCACAGTGGACCAAAAATCTGTCAAAATAGTTTGCTTAACTGGTGATTACTTTTTGACTGACTTGAGCAGTCAGGTTAATCAAAAAAACAGTCCAACCAGATTTCCCATGTATACACAGTCTAAGCTCTTCCTGTGTTAGTAGGTGTGCCCTGTTTATATATTTGAAAGGAGTTTTATTAAGTTACATTGTTTAAGAGAAACAAGTCAAAAAAGTTGTGAGCAACTAGTTTGACAATTAGGGCTCCCCTTGGGGTTGGACCTCAACTTCAACACTGGGGAGAAAAGGCCAAGAGCTCCAGAGCAAGGCAAGGATAGTGGCAGAAAAGGGAAAAGCACCATGGGAGCAGGAAGAAACCATATGCCCTGCTCCTAACATTGTTTGGTTAGAGGACTGAGACACATGTTTTGACAGGGAATGGACTGATTGTATCTTTTGAAATTAAATAAAAGCACTTAGAACCCAAGGAAGGGTTTGATGACATTGTTGATCATGGATTTTCATTCTTGGTGTGACTAGCCATTTCTATCAGACAAAAGAAAAGCTTTAAGAATCCCCTTAATTTAAAAATGAGGGTGAGGGCAGTTTAAATTTTCAGTTTGCACAAATGACAACCTTGACTTTTAGTCTTATATTTCCAAAGTAGTGTTAGAGCAGTAGTTAGGAGTGCAGGGTTTGGAATCAGCCCATCTTGCTCTAAACCTGGGCTCTTTACTAGCAAGTTGTGTGCCTTTGGACCAGATATTTCCCTCTGCATATGTAAATGTTCTTATCTGTATACTGGGCGCAATAATACTACTTAATTTCCAGGATTATTTTGATTACTAAATGACTTAATGTGAGTAAAGCATTTTCAATAGGGTATGGTCAGGAGAACTTGCTATAGAAAGGCATCTGACCAGAATAAGATGGTCCAGCTTAAGTTCATCATAACTGTGAGAGTATCTTGTTCAAAGAAAGATTTTTATAAAGCACTAAACTTCTTTTATACCAGGTTCTTATGCCTCTTTTAAGTCATGCCCCAATTAATAGTTTTATCATTTAATATCTTCATAGTTTCTAATAACAATGCCAATAAGCATATGGCTGAAGTTTCTAGGTCCCCATTCTATGCAGGCTTTGAGCTGAGGGTTTTACCTTTTTCTCATTTAATAATCATGAAACCCAATGTGGTATATCAGGTTTACATGCGAAGAAATTGAGTTTCAATCAAATTGCATGACCTGTCTGGGATCCGACTGCTGGTTATGACAGAGCTGGCTTTGAAACCTAACCATCTTGCTTTGAAACCTATGCTCATTCTAATACACCACGTTTCTAAGAACCTATAATGTAATAAATATCTAGTTAATAATAACTTGTATTTCTGGTTCTTCCAGCAAAGAAGAGCAGCTGATATTGCAGGTTTGGGACTTCCTAAAGAGAAATATTTGTCTGTAGGGCCTTCAAAGGTATTACAAGCAAATCAGAGGAAACAGGATGATCAAACATTGACCTGTCATATCCAGAGCCCATGTTTTTTCCACTTTCTACATTGCCACTTTGGGTTCCAAAGAAATCCAACAAAATGATGGGAAGACAAAACTCACAGGTTTCAAAGGATTTATAGCTAGAAAGGATCTCAAATATTGGTTAATTAAGAAAATATAAGGTAGAGTACCTCATTAATTGAATATGGCTCAAGAATCTACTAAGAGCCTGAAAACAAAGTAATTCTTGTAACATTAAAACTATTTCATGCCTTTTCTTGGGTGATTTTTCTGCCATTGACTGAGGTAGTAATCTCATACAGTAATGTGCAAAAAGTCTAGACTCTGAAGGTGCATGAATGAATGATACCTCTGGGAAGAGCCCAGACTTCCAGCTAAAACTCAGCATAGAGGGTGTAATCCAACATACAGGATTAACATATCAGGAGACTTGCCCTAGGTCAGCTCATCTCTCTGTGATGCCATATTCTCTAGATGGAAATAAAAACAGTGAACTCTCTTAAATGTGCCCTACGGTCTGATTAAAGATTGAAAAGGTCTCTAAAAATCCACAGCACTCCCAGGGAAAAATGCTAAATATCATTATCATTATTATACCAAATGCCATAATTTGGTCTCCTCAGATTCCCTTTTTATGTAGATTCCATCAAACTCTGACTTTTGACTTTTTGCCTCTCTGACCAAATCTCCAATGACAAAGCAGAGGGAAATGTTGAGGCAATTAGTGGGAAATGGAAGCAATTAATTCCCTTTTTTAGTGGAGACCTGGCCTCTGTGAACCAGTTTAACCAAAAATAATCAATGACCTTTCTCTGACCAAACTGAAGCAAATCTACTTGATATTTGTCACTGGTTATCCATCTACTGCTTCAACATTAATGAGTCTCTTCACTTTGCCCCTTTCTTCTATGAAATAGAGTCATCTATTCTGGTCCCTTGTTACCTCTGCAACTGCTATTTTCGCAAATTTAATACAGTCAAAGACCTCGTTATCCATGTGTAAGCCTAGGAACCATTTTTAGCATAGCTATGGTTTCTGATTTCCCCCCAACCCTTCTCCCTTGAACTGTTTCCTCTTCTCTGCTATAAAGATGGAATCTTGTTCAAAATGAATAAAGTAGAACAAAAAAGATAAAGTTTAAATCCAAAAGTGCCCCAGAAAAGAGTGTATTATTGACTTAGATCTAAGCCCCATATAGACCCAGGTCTAGGTCACTGCCCCATCACTTACTCACTGGTCACCTTGGGAAAGTTGACCTATCCAAAAGCTTCACTTTTCTCTTCTCAGCAGTGGAGAGAGCAGCATTTGCCCGAAGGGCATGTCGTGCTCAACTGAAGTGAAACATGTAAAGTCTTTAGTACATGATGAGAATCCAATCAATGTTACCTATTATCAACTGTTGAAGAGATGATTTCATGTAATATAGCTGATTTTGATACTTCATTAAAACTCCTTCTAGGATGACTGCTACTCAAGCAGAAGTAATTAACACTCATTGTCTCTTTTATACCCCTGTAGAGGACAGTGTTTCAGCTTATGCATTTATTTTATACATTCTTTCCATCTCCTAGCATATTCTAGGATATTTTTGCTTGCTATTTTGCCATTGTTGCTGTTTGTTTTATCTTTAGACAAATATATCTCAAGCAACTCATTCAAAGTTTGTTACATTTCACTGGGTGTGTTCAGTGGGACTGAAACTAAGTGAAATCAGTTACAACCAGTGTT